ATGAGATTAACTTTAAAAAATATATAGTCTTACTATAGATACAATCTTCTCCATATCAAAGGGATCATATTATATGTCACTTGTCCTTAATGAATCCATACTAATTTATATGAATATTGTAATGAAAAACTATCATGTATTGTTAGATGATAAATGAATTTTGTTATATTAAAGGTTCTCCTATCATTTAATCATTTTTATTTTATAATCAAATAATTTAAACAATAAAATAAAGAACTCATATTGTAAAACCCTTTTATAAAAACAAAATTATATGAGAGAAATATTATAATATAAATCATTGGTCTGTAGAGTCAGCAGCATGGATGAGATGGCAGGTGTCAAGGATAAGATGGAAGACTAATTATGTAGACAGCATTTTTGACTCCACGTGACATGCACCAAACAATGTTAATGACCTTTGGGTTCTTTGACTAACTAGTTACTTGATTTTTTCATTCAAAAAAAAAGAAAAAAAAAAAGAAAAAAGAAAAAAACTAGTTACTAGATTTTCTTTGCATACATCAAGTCATCAATGCGGCAATGCCCCACACTGCCATGGTTGTTATTAATTTTTGTTTTTTCTTTCCCCCTAAATTTCGGCCATCATGTGCATTTGACGTTCGCTTCAATTATATCATGTCATATTTATATCATGTCATATATAAGTACATTCTCTTCACCAAGACAATAATTTAAATTTGACTATTTGTAGATTCGTTAAAAAAAAAAAAAAAAAACGATCATCATGCAGAATGAAAACAATAAAATCCCTGCCTAATCAAACATTTATTCCAGTAAATGAATCTAAGTAAACCATTATTTGTTACAATAAGAGAAAAAAAACAAAAAACAAAAAACAAAAAGGCTCCTTTCTCATGTTCGAAATATTTGTTACTGGAATTTTTCTTTTTGATGTTCACTTGACTTTTTCTATATACATTTAGAATAACACTTTTATATATATAGCTCATGGATGAAAATTTTAATAATTAATTTTTTAATTAAATGACATTACTTAATAAAAAGTATGTATAAAAGAGTTTCCAATGCAAATCACAAGATATAAAAGGATACTAAACAAATCAATGTACAAAAATTAAGCACAATAATAACTATATATTAGAGTTAACAAC